GACAAGCAACAGAGACGACAAGGTCGGGAGTACGACAAGCAGGTTAAAGGCATCAGTTTGTCCATGGAGGATCGTGTCCTCATCGCCAACAAGGGTGAAAGGGGCCGTTGCAAGTTGGCTGACAAGTGGAATCCCGAGATTCTCACAGTGACTTCAGTCAATCCACAAACTCACACATACAGAATCCAAGGCCGCGATGGCAGAGAGAAGGTGGTTCACAGAAATCTACTGCTGCAGGTGAACTTCCTGCCATTTGAAATTGATGATTCAGAGTACTTCAATGACAGTGATGCTGCAGGACCTTCGATCAATGGAGATGCAGGAGAGGCCACGCATTCCGGTGATGGACTGGACAGGGAAGACATGGAGGACTCTGGGGAGGAAAGTGCATCTTGGATGGCGGAGGATTCAAGCGATTACTCCGAGCTGTGGACATCGGATGCAAAGACAGAACCAGAAGAACCTTGCCTGCCTGATGAAAATGACCTGGGAAGCACTTCTGAAATCCTGGAGCTGATTCCTTCAAACCCTCCTCTGATCAATGATCTAAGGCCAGAACCACTGTTAGTCACCATGGCCCCTAGCCCAGTGGTGGGTCGTACAAGGGCGGGGAGGGTAGTTAAACCTGTCAAGAGACTAATTGAGTCAATCATTTTACATTACATTTTAGTCATTTAGCAGACGCTCTTATCCAGAGTGACGTACAGTTAGTGAATACATATTTTTTTATACTGGCCCCCCGTGGGAATCGAACCCACAACCCTGGCATTGCAAACGCCATGCTCTATCAACTGAGCTACATCCCTGCCGGCCATTCCCTCCCCTACCCTGGACGACGCTGGGCCAATTGTGCGCCGCCCATGAGTCTCCCGGTCGCGGCCGGCTGCGACAGAGCCTGAATTCAAACCAGGATCTCTAGTGGCACAGTTAGCACTGCGATGCAGTGCCTTAGACCACTGCGCCACTCAGGAGTTATCCCCCAGAAGGTGCAAGTTGAACATAGTACAGAGATATAGTACAGAATTACAGTTTATTTTACGGCTAAGAAGGTAGATATAGTGTAAGAGGCACTATGCATCTAGGGGCAGTTGAAGGTCTGACCAACTTTCACTTGCCCTGAACCCTATGGGTAGCTTTGAGCTGAATTCAGAATTATGCCTTGAGCTTGGTAGATTATTTAGTTTCGTTTTACAAGGTTGATGAAATTCAGGAGGGGTGAATGTAACAGTTTTTAAAGTACCTTGTGAATTTCACCATGTTCATATATTAATATAGCATGTTGATTTGTTATTATGCGTGGCTGCATCCTGGGAATAGGAGAGTGTGTACTTACGTTTTGCCCTGCGTGCTCGTGCTCAAATCATTTTGATGCACTATGAGAGGTAGGCACGCTTTTTCTGTCATCTTTAGAAAAGTTAGATTCCTTCAAGCACAAAGTCATACACACAGTGTTTTGTTCATGAATAATGTTGTATATTTAGAGTTTACTCATGAGTGGATGGTATTGTTAAGATGCAATTGTAATTGTACTTTTTAGGATGATATTAACATTCTGAATTCAACATGTGGTTACTAGCTAGTTAAGGTATTGTATGTGTGAACGATGGCTAGCTCCTCGACTGATTCCAGTCCTTTGTTGTAGAAAGAGGCGACAATGGGCAGAACATATTTGTGCTCTACAAATGTTTTGTAATTTCTTTTGGATGCAGGTATGTGGTTTTATCTATGTAAAATGTATGTTATGTGTTGATACATTATAAGGAGAGGTTGTACTCATTTTTGTATTCTAAAAAAATCATTTTGATGCACTATGAGAGAAAGAGGCGACAATGGGCAGAACATATTTGTGCTCTACAAATGTTTTGTATTTTCTTTTGGATGCAGAGAGAATTCTGATTAATTAAAACAGCCTGATCTTCGAAGTCCACGTCTATAGTCCCAATCAATCGCACACAACGCAGAGATACAGCCGTGCAGTACAGTGCTGGTTACACAAGCTTATGGTCATGTTGTAGCAGTGTGTAGGAGGGAGATTCCTAGATGTGAGAAGTGTGCAGGAGGGCATGAGACAAAGGAATGTGTAGTATCTGTGAAAAAAGTTGTGTGTTAACTGTAGGGGTACCATGGTGTCGGAGATCAGAATTGTCCGGTGAGAGAAAGGCAGGTTGAGGTTGCTAGGATCAGAGTAGTACAGAAGGTGTCATATGCTGAGGCAGTGAAGAGAGTAGTAGAGGAAGATGGATCCAGGGCTAGGGATCCTATAGGCTGAGGCCAAGAGTGATAGGAATAACACGTTTCAGTAAGGTTGGTTTCTTAGCGTTCATGGCAATGGTTATCAACTTTACCTAAAAAATTGAATGTAAATCACAGAAAATAAATGTTGTGGTGGCAGCTGCAGAGAATTACTTGGGTGTACGAGATTTTACTGCAGAAGAGTTACAAGGTGTGTTGTGTCCTGTCCTCCCAGGCTGCCTGCGTGGTGTAGGATCAGATGGGGCCAAATAGTGGAATAGTGGTGAAGATTTAATGGGTGTAGAGTTAGTCGGTAGGGCAATTATTTTCCCTTTTCCCGTCATTTTTCCCTTCCCTTTTTGTGTCACAACGTATAACGAATTCACACTCCAGAACAGTAGGCAGAAACACAGCGCTAGATAAGAGAAATAGAACGGAGACCAGCCTCACACTCCAGTACAGAAGATGGCGGCGTATGCACCTTTCAGTTGGTTGCGATTGCCAATAGGAAAAGAAGAACAGCCGTGAGTGGCGGTAGTCGGCCATATTGTCTCTGAGACAGCAAAAATCATACGCAAGTACACCCGCGAGAGGAAAGGAAGGGACCCTGCCTTCACTCCGCTCCTAAGAAAGGAGTTGGGTCGCAGATTTGATCAAAGAGGTAGCTATACAATACATGTTTGGACTCTGGGTCAAATTATTTTATGAAACAAGCAGGCAGGTAGCAATGCTAACAGAGTTAGCTAACTAGCTTTCCAGTGGGACTGGTGACCAACACGTTAGCTAGCTGGGCTAGATGAGACTAGCGGTAGCTAGCTAGCTAGGTAGTTGGATAACAAGACTGTCCAATGTAGTTGTTGCAGACAAACTGCGCAAACCAGCCATGTGCTAGTTAGATGTGTGAAAGTGCTAACGTTAGCTAGCATAGCTCATCTTTGAAGCAACTCCTCAGCGTTTCCCAATCTCGGTCCTGGGGACCACAAGGGGTGCACGTTTTTGTTTTGGCCCTAACACTACACAGCTGATTTCAAATAATCAACTCATCATTCAGTTTTGATTATTTGAATCTGCTGTGTAGTACTGGGACAAACATCAAAACGTGCACCCCAGGACCGAGTTTGGGGAAACGCTGCAACCTACAGTTGCCACATTGATTTCGTTAACGTTAGGCTAGCTCACTATCGTAACTACTCGTCAGGGGCACTGAACAAACAAACATGTATTATTCCTCAATAGCTAGATACACATGTTTGTTATCAAACATGGCATTAACCTCCGTTAGCTAGCTATATCTTAACAAGAGGGCAGCAACACCACTTTTCCCCGAAGATGTATTGCATCCATTGCAGAGAAGATTTATTAATTGCTACATATTTTTTAAAAATAAAACTACGCTAACTTTAGAATGTAGTGGATGTGGAACTCGCCTGTAGCATGTTGGCTGGAGTTAATATCAAACCTTCCCTGAAATCTAAAGGCAACTGTCACTCAGGTTGCTAGTTTGCTCCCTGCTCGAAGCAGAACAAATGCACTCTGTTACAATGGTGTCATGACTCGGATCCACAGTTGGGCTCTGCCCGGCTGCTGAGGTAACTTCGAGGAGTAGGAGGTTGGTCGTTATGACGAGGGGAGTTTGAGACAAAATATCTAAAGGATCATATTATTAAACACACTTTCCAAATGTGGGTCTGTTGTAGACCCACTTCCTCTCTGCATACATCGTGTCACGTGATAGTGACCGACCATCCTGCCCACCAGAACAGTAAGTTGAAATGGAATCGTATATAACTTCTGGCTTCCCACGGACTGTTGCTAAAAGCACTTACTTTAAGCCTAGGTAGGCTACATACTATCAGAGGTAGAGAGCTAGATGTACCAAACACATCTCAAAGCTAGGTAAAACAAGCCTCAGGGTAAAACTGCATATCCCTGGGTCACTATTACGAACCAGGTAAGCCCCAAATACACTCATGGTACTACATTTTTAGTAGGCTCCATTATCATACCTATGCCCACCTCTATACAGATATAGAGGATATCTTTGACAGGCACCACAGTTATAACCGTTTGTTGGCAAAGATAAGTGAAGGCTTGACTATTGCAGAGGAAATGGTATATTGGCAAGAAGTATGGATGGATATTATAATTTATCAATAGAAGCCTGTATGAGTATGTATGAACCTTTTTTTGAACAAATGGGATCTTCTCAGTTAAAAAGTCAAATGTGATAGTATTTTCACACATTTTTTGACTGATTTTGTGTGTGTGGTGTTAATGATGAATTCCATCAAACATTGATGATTACGGCAGTAAGAGAATGGATTTTGTATTTTAAACTAAATCAATAGTCACATAGCTTATCCCTGCCAGCTTTAGTAATTTAACATTGTCAATACTTTGGGGGCGGTGCAGTGACACATTTTAAAACAGCCTACAGGTAGTCAGGCCTGAAATTTAGTTTGCAACAAGACATACTAGTTTCTTCACTTTGTTAGGTCTATAGTTATCAACAACAAATGCAGTGTTGTTGTAACAGTGCATCAAATTGCATTACACACACCTATAGAAACTGTCTGCACTGGCCATCAGTTCTGCAGGAAGTTTTTACACCCATGTCAATGATGCGTATTTGATCTGGCCTAGGTGAAGGTCTCAAATATAACTGACATTGTTTCTTTGGTCCCCCTGTTGTCTCAGCTGTCCGCCCCAGGTGCCCCCCACTACAGCCAAAGCCCCCCCCACCCCCCCTTACCCCTGCCCTGTCAGGAAGAGGCCCCTCACCCGTTCCCCCACCTTCCCTCCTACCCTCTTCCCTCCTCATCCTTCTCTGCAGTAAGTGCTCCCCCTCACCTCTGCCAAGCTGTCGGACATGTCAGGACCCGTGCCGAGTCGGGCCCGCGTGTACACCGATGTCAATACACAACGGCCCAGGGAGTACTGGGACTATGAGTCCCATGTGGTGGAATGGGGGTATGCAGCAGCGACACACACACACACTCCCAGTCTCTAAATGAAGTCACAGAGAATGTTGGTTGGTGCTTGCTAAACTAACTGATGACTTTCTCTTCTTTGCACGTTAAATCTCTGCAGTTTAATTCCAATTTCCTTGAATGGTGTAATTGACAAAAACAATTCTGACCGCAGAAATCAAGATGACTTCCAGTTGGTGCGGAAGCTGGGACGCGGGAAGTACAGTGAAGTGTTCGAAGCGATCAACATCACCAACAACGAGAAGGTTGTGGTGAAAATACTCAAGGTAAGGCCACGATGAGAAATCAGTATCATTCAGATTGCCATTCGATACAGACTCACATTGGCTTGTTGGATTCATATTGAAGTAAAACCACCCTGACAATCAATACAATTGGTCTTTAATTGTGTCCATAGCCCGTCAAGAAGAAGAAAATCAAGCGTGAAATTAAGATCCTGGAGAACCTCCGCGGAGGCCCCAACGTCATCTCCCTTGTAGACATCGTCAAAGACCCAGTGGTGAGTAGGAATGGGGGGGCGGAGAAAGAGATGTGAAAACTGTATTACGCTTTTAGAGGTGCTCCATGACTTTGATGCAACAACCCCTTCTTTTCTTTCAGTCTCGGACACCTGCCTTGGTCTTTGAACATGTCAACAACACAGACTTCAAGGTAAGATGGAGCATCAGATTTAACCCCTGGGTCGTATTCTTTAGAGCACACTGCATCAAAACGTTTGCCATTTCTTATTGGGCACGTTCAGGTAGTCCGTCCTCGCTGCAGTCTTTCTTCCGTTTGGTGCCTAATGAATATGACCCTGTTTCTTGACTGTATAACATCTCTATTTAGAAACAAAGCCCTATGAAACCTCCTTTTTTGGCATGCATGTTGTTTCCCCGTACTCCAGTGTGTATGTGTGGAGGGACACAGGTGCAGTGCTATGTCTTCGGTGCCAGGATGTTTCTTGTCTTGTGGTTCTATCCTCAATCACTGGTACGCAATGATCAATTGGAATGGTTGCGTCAAGTTTAGTGTTGCTTAAAAGGCCTAAGTGTTACCAGTCAGATGCCCAAGTTGATAGCTTGTGATTTTAATAATATGTGAACTCTTTGTATTGGATGGGTTCAGGTTGCTTAGACAGATATATGCATGTACTCTTCAGGGTTTGGTTGAATCACTGTATTGATTCATCTGTTTTTACTTGCAGCAATTGTACCAGACCCTAACGGACTATGACATCCGGTTCTACATGTTCGAGATCCTCAAGGTGGGTCTCGTAATGTTGTAATTTGGGTGTACTACCCCATTTCATGTGTTCTCTTAAAATGTATTGGAAGTCCCAGAGACTGCTAGACATGAGTCATCATTTCCTCTCCCAAAACAAGAACATTCAGGTGCTTAAGAGTATAAGCCCCTTGTTTGTCCGACGGTTACAGTGGCTTGCGAAAGTATTCACCCCCTTCTTGGCATTTTTCCTATTTTGTGGCCTTACAACCTGGAATTAAAATTGATTTTTTGGGGGTTTGTATCTTTTTATTTACACAACATGCCTATCACTTTGAAGATGCAAAATATTTTTTATTGTGAAACAAACAAGAAATAAGACAGAAACAGAACTTGAGTGTGCATAACTATTCACCCCCCCAAAGTCGATACTTTGTAGAGCCACCTTGAGCAGCAATTACAGCTGTAAGTCTCTTGGGGTATGTCTCTATAAAATGTTTCCCCTTAAACCACTCAAGTGTTGCTTTAGCAGTATGCTTAAGGTCATTGTCCTGCTGGAAGGTGAACCTCCGTCCCAGTCTCAAATCTCTGGAAGACTGAAACAGGTTTCCCTCAAGAATGTCCCTGTATTTTGCGCCATCCATCATTCCTTCAATTTTAACCAGTTTCCCAGTCCCTGCCGATGGAAAAACATCCCCACAGGTGGTGTTCTCGGGGTGGTGTTCTCGGGGTGATGAGGTGTTGGGTTTGCGCCAGACATAGCGTTTTCCTTGATGGCCAAAAAGCTCAATTTTAGTCTCTGAACAGAGTACCTTCTTCCATATGTTTGGGGAGTCTCCCACATGCCTTTTGGCGAACACCAAACGTGTTTGCTTATTTTTTTCTTTAAGCAATGGCTTTTTTCTGGCCACTCTTCCGTAAAGCCCAGCTCTGTGGAGTGTACAGCTTAAAGTGGTCCTATGGACAGATACTCCAATCTCTTGCTGTGGAGCTTTGCATCTCCTTCAGGGTTATGTTTAGTCTCTTTGTTGCCTCTCAGATTAATGCCCTCCTTGCCTGGTCTGTGAGTTTTGGTGTGCGGCCCTCTCTTGGCAGGTTTGTTGTGGTGCCATATTCTTTCCATTTTTTAATAATGGATTTAATGGTGCTCCGTGGGATGTTCAAAGTTGCGGGTATTTTTTTATAACCCTGAACTGTACTTCTCCACAACTTTGTCCCTGACCTGTTTGGAGAGCTCCTTGGTCTTCATGGTGCCGCTTGCTTGGTGGTGCCCTTGCTTAGTGGTGTTGCAGACTCTGGGGCCTTTCAGAACAGGTGTGTATATATACTGAGATCATGTGGCACTTAGAATGCACACAGGTGGACTTTATTTTACTAATTACCGTATTTTCCGCACTATAAGGCGCACTTAAAAGCCTTTAATTTTCTCAAAAAACGACAGTGCGCCTTATAATCCGGAGCACCTTATATATGGATCAATTGGTTAATTGTCAATTGGTTAATTGTTTATTTTTGTTTGGTGCCCTAATGAACAGAACCATTAATTGTATATATGGAACAATGTTGAGTTATGCACTAACGTTTGATTTAGTGGTATCAGACTGTTTCTTTTACTACGTGTTTACTGAATCAGGGAAAAGTTCCCCTCCACGTTTGGGAGAAGAGTGAGCAAGGCTGGGAGATATTGTTAATATGCACATTAACGTTTGAACAACGTTACCATGGGAGTGAACGGAGTTGTCAGAACGCTTAATAAAGTTTGACTTTATCTGACTGTTTTGTTGACATTCCCTTTAGCACAGCTCCATCTAGTGGATGCATAATGCAACCCCAGTCAAACGTTTGACTGCAGTATCTTCTATTCTATGCGCCTTACAATCCGGTGCGCCCTATATATGAAAACAGTTCTAAAATAGGCCATTCATTGAAGGTGCGCCTTATAATCCGGTGCGCCTTATAGTGCGGAAAAAACGGTATGTGACTTCTGAAGGTAATTGGTTGCACCAGATCTTATTTAGGGGCTTCATAGCAAAGGGGGTGAATACATATGCACGCAGCACTTTTCCGTTATTTTTTTCATTTCACTTCACCAATTTGGACTATTTTGTGTATGTCCATTACATGAAATCCAAATAAAAATCCATTTAAATTACAGGTTGTAATGCACCAAAATAGGAAAAACACCAAGGGGGATGAATACTTTTGCCCATCAACATGTTTGTGCGCCAAGATGGGTAGACGTCTCTTTTGTCATCTCTGCTTTGCATTACTTTGTTGAGTAAATCTCCAGCCACCTTGTTGCTAACTGGCGGCCATTTTGGCTCTGTCCGCAGGCCCTGGACTACTGCCACAGCATGGGAATCATGCACAGGGACGTGAAACCCCACAATGTGATGATAGATCACGAACACCGCAAGGTGAGTGTTTATGACCAATGCGGCGGCGGCACAGTTATTTCCCTCCATCCGATTCGCCCATAGACAAGACCTTTGTCATCAGTGTATTTTAATGTGACAAAAAATGTATGCTAGTTTAAATGGACATATTTTAACTCTTGATGAATTATGTTATGATGCATGTATTATTGGAGCTGTTTTACAAGCAGATATTGCACAATGACAAACGTCATTACAATACCCCAAAGTCTAAGTAGTCCCTCCCTGTTTGTCTGTTTATTTTTGTTTGGTGCCCTAATGAACAGAACCATGTTATGCTCCTTTCAATATCGACTGTTTGTGTTCTTCCAGCTGCGCCTTATTGACTGGGGTCTGGCTGAGTTCTACCACCCGGGACAGGAGTACAATGTCCGAGTGGCTTCTCGCTACTTCAAAGGACCCGAGCTTCTGGTCGACTATCAGGTATGTTGTCCGGCTACTGGTCCTAATTTTGTCGAGCTCAGTCTATATTCTTTGCTGTTGTGTAGATCACCGCTACATTTACGCCACTGAACCAAACTGTGCTGAGCTGGTTAAGCATCCACCGTAGTTACTGGAACCATGCTGAACACGGCAATGTGAAAACCAAACAACAGTCAAGAGATCTCCCATTGGCCATTCAAATCCATTTTATTAGATGGTGCCAATATTTCCCCAAGGGGCTATTGCAGGCTCCTCTTCCATTCCGCCATCTTGGCTTTTCTCTAACTCACTGATTTGACTGTCTTCTTCTTCCAGATGTATGACTACAGTCTGGACATGTGGAGTTTGGGCTGCATGCTGGCCAGCATGGTCTTCAGGAAGGAGCCTTTCTTCCACGGCCACGACAACTACGACCAGGTAAACACACTCTCTCCAATATGTTGTCCACCATGTCTCAAGGGCTCCATTCATTACCAGTGAAGAGAATAACCTTGGACCTGTTCAGGAGGGTGAAAGGTTACAGAACATTCAAATGGAAATAGATTGTATAGAGCAGATTTGATTCTGTCAGGTACAATAGGGAATCCTGTCAGTTCTATTCATTCCATTTCTATCTGCAACGTACAGCACGTTTCACGTCACTGAATACACCCAGGTGAGCTGAATGACTAGATGTTTCCCCAGTTTTTTTTTTCTCTCCTCGTAGTTGGTGAGAATAGCCAAGGTGTTGGGAACGGAAGACCTGTACGACTACATTGACAAGTACAACATAGAGCTGGAGCCTCGGTTCAACGACATTCTGGGAAGGTATGTGGTCGTCTGTCTTTACTAATGTGTGGTTTTCTACACTTGTTTTGGACACTTAGTAAAACCAACTCCTGAATCTAAACACACACAGCTGCTGCTAACCAGCTCTCCCCATCCAGACACTCTCGTAAGCGGTGGGAACGCTTCGTCCACAGTGAGAACCAGCACCTGATCAGCCCTGAGGGTCTGGACTTCCTGGACAAGCTGCTGCGCTATGACCATCAGGCCCGGCTGACTGCCCGCGAGGCCATGGATCACCCCTACTTCTGTGAGTGTGGATGTTGAAGACTCAGCGATGCATGAAGTAAACAGCAATATTGGGTCGATTTCCGCAACTACTAAGAGTGTTGAAGTGTGAGGCTAAACTTATCCGCTGTTCTGGTCCCGTAGATACCACGTTGTAAAGACGTGAAGCGTACATGGCCAGATACTATGTGTGGCTGTATAAGAGAACAGTTTTGCATCACGCTCATTTGAATATCTGCGGTGCTGATCATGACAATGTCATAACCCTGAGTCTACCTTAATAACTCTGAAAGTTGAGACTAGTTTTTTTATTGAATGTTTCCTTAACATTCTGAGAAAGGAATTTATAGGTTGTTGACGTTCTTAGAATGTTCTCTGAAAGTTGCCCACATGATGATGATTATTGGAATGGTTTATTGATTAGATCATCCAATGAAGTAGTTGTGGCTGCTGCTGGCAGGAAAGATGGTCCCAGCTGTAACCCTGTGCTTTGTTCTGTGGTGTTTTTATGTCTTTGAACCTGTGTGATCCTCTATATGACTCTATAGGCCAAGCTACAGTTGCAAAAAAAGGCTTGTTATAACTGGGGTTACTTGGCATTGCAACAAGGTTTGTCTTTAAAAGCAACTCATGGCTTCAAAAAAACCCAGTGGTGTTTTCCTTTCGATGTAACAAGGGAGCCGGATGTTCTGGTACTTCACATTTGGAAGGCTTTGATATCGTGCTATACAATTCGTTTTGTTTGCGCTAATGCGGGTCGTGTTCATTAGGGCACACTAGCAAAACGTTTTGCAGTGGCAAACAAAAACCAAATGTTTCTTTTGGTAGCTCTACCTCGTTTTACTCAGTTTTCATCCAGTTTGTCTAATGAACACGGCCCAGTTCAGTGTGGTCATCAGTAGTTGCTTATGACTATATACTTGCAGTAGCTGGAGACTAGGGACTCAAGACTGTAGAGGTTTGTTCAATGTGTTTTCTTGTCCACACAGATCCCATTGTGAAAGAGCAGGGTCGCATGCCGGGGTCGGCTAACCTACCCAGCGGAAATACAGCCATGAGCACAGCCAACATGATAACTGGTGAGCGCGCACACACACCAATCATCCTGAATGCCCACCTGTCTCCCCGTCTGAACTCCCATTACTCAGTGTTGAGGATGTTTTGTCAGTGGCAGGCCAAGCTCGGAAATTACGTAGACCCAAGCAGCCGACTTGGTCTGTGTAAAGATTCAATGACGCGTGGTAACCTGCTATATTTGTCCAGGCAAATGTCCTCAGTATTACAAACATGTCTGGGATGCCGACACTGATGTGAGTTAGTTAGTCGTTCCTCTCTAAAGGCCTTTGCAGACTGTACGTCGGATTCAATCTTTTATGATTATAACATCACACTGTGCGAATTAAAATTAAAATCTTGATATCAACCTGGCCAGATTGTACGATTTGCTGCAGTTCTGTCGTCACATTATGTGATCTGTGCATGTGCCAGCAGCGCAAGCAACTCTTTGCTTATGCGCGAGTCAAGTGAGTTTGGGAAAAACTGAAAGTATGCATCTTAGAAATAGTTTTCACATACAAACTTTATACACTGCTCAAAAAAATAAAGGGAACACTTAAACAACACATCCTAGATCTGAATGAATGAAATCATCTTATTAAATAATTTTTTCTTTAAATACATAGTTGAATGTGCTGACAACAAAATCACACAAATTATCAATGGAAATCAAATGTATCAACCCATGGAGGTCTGGATTTGGAGTCACCCTCAAAATTAAAGTGGAAAACCACACTACAGGCTGATCCAACTTTGATGTAATGTCCTTAAAAGAAGTCAAAATGAGGCTCAGTAGTGTGTGTGGCCTCCACGTGCCTATATGACCTCCCTACAACGCCTGGGCATGCTCCTGATGAGGTGGCGGATGGTCTCCTGAGGGATCTCCTCCCAGACCTGGACTAAAGCATCCGGCAACTCCTGGACAGTCTGTGGTGCAACGTGGCGTTGGTGGATGGAGCGAGACATGATGTCCCAGATGTGCTCAATTGGATTCAGGTCTGGGGAACGGGCGGGCCAGTCCATAGCATCAATGCCTTCCTCTTGCAGGAACTGCTGACACACTCCAGCCACATGAGGTCTAGCATTGTCTTGCATTAGGAGGAACCCAGGGCCAACCGCACCAGCATATGGTCTCACAAGGGGTCTGAGGATCTCATCTCGGTACCTAATGGCAGTCAGGCTACTTCTGGCGAGCACATGGAGGGCTGTGCGGCCCCCCAAAGAAATGCCACCCCACACCATGACTGACCCACCGCCAAACCGGTCATGCTGGAGGATGTTGCAGGCAGCAGAACGTTCTCCACGGCGTCTCCAGACTGTCACGTGCTCAGTGTGAACCTGCTTTTATCTGTGAAGAGCACAGGGCGCCAATGGCGAATTTGCCAATCTTGGTGTTCTCTGGCAAATGCCAAACATCCTGCATGGTGTTGGGCTGTAAGCACAACCCCCACCTGTGGACGTCGGGCCCTCATACCACCCTCATGGAGTCTGTTTCTGACCGTTTGAGCAGACACATGCACATTTGTGGCCTGCTGGAGGTCATTTTGCAGGGCTCTGGCAGTGCTCCTCCTTGCACAAAGGCGGAGGTAGCGGTCCTGCTGCTGGGTTATTGCCCTCCTACGGCCTCCTCCACGTCTCCTGATGTACTGGCCTGTCTCCTGGTAGCGCCTCCATGCTCTGGACACTATGCTGACAGACACAGCAAACCTTCTTGCCACAGCTCGCATTGATGTGCCATCCTGGATGAGCTGCACTACCTGAGCCACTTGTGTGGGTTGTAGACTCCGGCTCATGCTACCACTAGAGTGAAAGCACCGCCAGCATTCAAAAGTGACCAAAACATCAGCCAGGAAGCATAGGAACTGAGAAGTGGTCTGTGGTCACCACCTGCAGAACCACTTCTTTATTGGGGGTGTCTTGCTAATTGCCTATAATTTCCACCTGTTGTCTATGCCATTTGCACAACAGCATGTGACATTTATTGTCAATCAGTGTTGCTTCCTAAGTGGACAGTTTAATTTCACAGAAGTGTGATTGACTTGGAGTTACATTGTGTTGTTTAAGTGTTCCCTTTATTTTTTTGAGCAGTGTATATCTGAATTCAGAATCAGCTTCCCCAAAATAACATGAACGTGTATTTTGATTGGTGATTTTGTGCATTTTTCAAAATCCAATCAGGTAGCCTGATTTCAAATGTGTCATGCAAACAAGATTATTAGGGAAATTATTCCACTTGCACAGCATGTAAACGTTTAAATCGAACTATTATATTAATCCGACTATTATATTAATCGGACTATTCACAATAAACAGATTATTGTGTGCTTGCTTAGTGCCGGCCGTGTTCCTATTGGTCAATTACCGGGATCGGCTCAACACCAGCCACACACGATAAAGGCAAACAAATTCTGACACTGACAGAACTTTGTCGGAGCCTACGACTGCACGTAGTGTTACTAAATCGGCAGACCTAGACCCTGTCACACTGAATGGGCCAAGACGTCCGACAATCGTTTACGACCTAAGACTTTGCCCACGACGTGGACATTTCTTCTGGGATGGCAAAATCATACATTCTGTAAAGGCCTTTAAAGGTGGGTAGTAAAATAATGATTTCATCAAGGGTTATGACATTGTCATAATTGACATACTGTAATTTAATGCAATACATTTCAGAAGAGCTCAACTCTCACCATACAGTGAGGGGGGAAAAGTATTTGATCCCCTGCTGATTTTGTACGTTTGCCCACTGACAAAGAAATGATCAGTCTATAATTTTAATGGTAGGTTTATTTGAACAGTGAGAGACAGAATAACAACAACAAAAATCCAGAAAAACGCATGTCAAAAATGTTATAAATTGATTTGCATTTTAATGAGGGAAATAAGTATTTGACCCCCCCCTCAATCAGAAAGATTTCTGGCTCCCAGGTGTCTTTTATACAGGTAATGAGCTGAGATTAGGAGCACACTCTTAAAGGGAGTGCTCCTAATCTCAGTTTGTTACCTGTATAAAAGACACCTGTCCACAGAAGCAATCAATCAATCAGATTACAAACTCTCCACCATGGCCAAGACCAAAGAGCTCTCAAAGGATGTCAGGGACAAGATTGTAGACCTACACAAGGCTGGAATGGGCTACAAGACCATCGCCAAGCAGCTTGGTGAGAAGGTGACAACAGTTGGTGCGATTATTTGCAAATGGAAGAAACACAAAAGAACTGTCAATCTCCCTCCATGCAAGATCTCACCTCGTGGAGTTGCAATGATCATGAGAACGGTGAGGAATCAGCCCAGAACTACACGGGAGGATCTTGTCAATGATCTCAAGGCAGCTGGGACCATAGTCACCAAGAAAACAATTGGTAACACACTACGCCGTGAAGGACTGAAATCCTGCAGCGCCCACAAGGTCCCCCTGCTCAAGAAAGCACATATACAGGCCCGCATGAAGTTTGCCAATGAACATATGAATGATTCAGAGGAGAACTGGGTGAAAGTGTTGTGGTCAAATGAGACCAAAATGGAGCTCTTTGCCATCAACTCAACTCGCCGTGTTTGGAGGAGGAATGCTGCCTATGACCCCAAGAACACCATCCCCACCGTCAAACATGGAGGTGGAAACATTATGCTTTGGGGGTGTTTTTCTGCTAAGGGGACAGGACAACTTCACCGCATCAAAGGGACGATGGACGGGGCCATGTACCGTCAAATCTTGGGTGAGAACCTCCTTCCCTCAGCCAGGGCATTGAAAATGGGTCGTGGATGGGTATTCCAGCATGACAATGACCCAAAACACACGGCCAAGGCAACAAAGGAGTGGCTCAAGAAGAAGCACATTAAGGTCCTGGAGTGGCCTTAATCCAATAGAAAATCTGTGGAGGGAGCTGAAGGTTTGAGTTGCCAAACGTCAGCCTCGAAACCTTTAATGACTTGGAGAAGATCTGCAAAGAGGAGTGGAACAAAATCCTTCCTGAGATGTGTGCAAACCTGGTGGCCAACTACAAGAAACGTCTGACCTCTGTGATTGCAAACAGGGGTTTTGCCACCAAGTACTAAGTCATGTTTTGCAGAGGGGTCAAAATCTTATTTCCCTCATTAAAATGCAAATCAATTTATAACATTTTTGACATGCGTTTTTCTGGATTTTGTTGTCTCTCTCACTGTTCAAATAAACCTACCATTTAAAATTATAGACTGGTCATGTCTTTGTCAGTGGGCAAACGTACAAAATCAGCAGGGGATCAAATACTTTTTTCCCTCACTGTATGTGAGTGCATCCATAGGAAATATGACAATGTAACTCATTGGTTATATTGTAGTCACTGCATCATCAGAACACCCTTGGAAGAGTGTTTTCTAAGGAACCAGCAGGCTTATCTGTATGGTAGGTAGTTAAGCTACATTTCCCTTCTTTCTCTCTCCAGGCATCTCTGCCTTGCCAGTCGCTACTGCCCTGGTCACCCTCACCGGCTCACCCGTCCTCTCTGCTGCCACCACCAATGCCCTGAGCATCCCCGTGCCCACCGCTGCTGGTGCCCCCCAGTGATTGCACTCCCCGGGGAGCAACCAACGGGTTCCACTCACTCTGCCGGCCCGCGCCACCACCTCTACTCACTCACAGTCCAACTGCCCTGAGATCCAGGAATGCCAACCTCTGAAGGCAGTCTCACCTGAACAATGTTTGTTTGTTTCTCCTTTAATGAACTTGAGGTAACCTGACATATGAAATTAATGTTCTGTGTAATTGACATACAGGTATTCCTTTCATCTTGACAAAACGATAGTGACGATAACTGGTGTGTGTGTGTGTGGCTGTGTGTCTTAAGTTCACAAGCCGAGAATCAGTCACGAATCCACTGGTGACGGGGGTTCCTACCCTCGCAACACGTTTTGTTTGTACATCACTGACAATGGTCACGCGAAGTAGTTAGCGGAAGGCAACAGGAAAGGACTGTAACATTCGTACCAAAAGGAGCATAATCTGTAGTTTACTAATGCAAAGTCATCAAACAAGCCCTGGTGAGAACACCTTAAGCAATCCCCTATGTTTAGTTCAATCCAGAACTCTATAGCACCATTATAAAGACTCTTCCCCACAGCGTTTGAAAGTGTTTGGTGCTGTTCTGTGCTCCAGTCGTGTGTTGAAACACTGAAGCCACCTCATTCATCGTATACTAATGACACTTCAGCCTGAATAGTATGTCTTGCCTTTCTACCGAACTGGATACCTAGTCTTTTTTATGTAAGGGTTCCCTGACCGTTTTCCTTTTATGTACTGAAATGCTGAGGTGCTGGATGGGTTTCATTTACTGTGGAAACGGTTTCATGGCAGTATTGTCATTCAAACCCTTCGAAAGCCAGACGAAGCCATCCGTTCGGTTAATTTGAAATGTTTCTCTCAAACTTGCTGCTTTCCAGTTCCTTGAATTAATTCAAGTTGTAAAAAACCAAAGTTTACTCAATCGCTTGGGAAGAGGAGACTGACCAAACCTTTGTTTTCTTGGAGAGAGTTACACTGAGTTACGTGGAAATAATATGGGTAAGAAAATGTTAGATATAAGATCGCAACAGAATACGAAAGCACCGGAGTCCTGGTTAAGTTGGCTTGAAATGTATTTTTATCTCTGCTGTTAGAACCTGAGGAAAGTTTTTATTTTTATTTTGTTGTATTTAGTTTGTTTCAGGGCTAAGTTTCAGGATCGATCATCTGTTTGGTTAGACACTGAAGGATGTATTGAACTTGAACGGTTGAATTTTCCCTGTGTTAGTGCCAGAAATTTGAATCTTGTTTGAGTATAGCTGTACATATGAATCCTTTTTTCATTTGAAATCTCTCAACATATGAAATATACATCGACATAATGAAGTTGTATGAGTCCTTACATCGCTGTATATATTTTTATGTCCTTATGTAGACTAGTATTTGAAAAAAGTTGTGTAAATAAACACGTTTTATCAAGTACATCTGATTGAAATGTTTTACAAACATCACTTTCCTTAATTTTAGTATTCTTTTGACGTCACTTCTACAGTATACATTTTTGCTATGTTTTAAGTTAATTGTAACAGTGATTATAAAACGGGTTGTTTGGATGCTGATTGGACGAGCAGCGTTCCAAGCCGTGCTGTGTTGCCCATCAGACACGCCTTTGCTTGCTAACAGTTCCATCTGAATTATCACTGCGCCGCCATAAGAATATCATGTTCATGTTGCTGTCTGAATCATCTCTTTTATTTATCTCAACTCACACACAATTTCCCCTTGCTTCCAGCGTAGCATTTATACTGAACAAAAATATAAACGCAACATGCAACCATTTCAAAGATTTTCCTGAGTTACAGTTCATATAAAGATATCATTCAATTGTAATAAATTCATTAGGCCCTAATCTATGGATTTCACATGATTGGGAATACAGATATGCATCTGTTGATCACAGATACCTTTTTTTTTTTTTTATCGTATGTCGGTCCAGAGCATCCCACACATGCTCAACGGGTGACATGTCTGAGTATGCAGGTCATGGAAGAACTGGGACATTTTCAGCTTCCAGGAATTGTGTACAGATCCTTGCGACATGGAGCCGTGCGTTATGCTGAAACATGAGGTGGTGGCAGCGAATGAATGGCACGACAATGGGCCTCAGGATCTCGTCATGGTATCTGTGCGTTCAAATCGCCATCCATAAAATGCAATTGTGTTCGTTGTCCGTAGCTTATGCCTGCCCATACCATAACCCCACCGCCACCATGGGTGAGTGGCCATCGAAGGTGAGCATTTGCCCACTGAAGTAGGTTACGACGACAAAATACAGTAGTCCATTCGCTGCTGCAGATGAGCTTCCCTGAGACGGTTTCTGACAGTTTGTGCAGAATTTCTTTGGTTGTGCAAACCCACAGTTTCATCAGCTGTCCGGGTGGCTGGTCTCAGACAATCCCGCAGGTGAAAAAGCTGGATGTGGAGGTCCTGGGCTGTGATTGTACTGCCAAATTCTCTAAAATGACATTTGAGGCGGCTTATGGTAGAGAAATTAACAATCAATTCTCTGGCAACAGCTCTGGTGGACATTTCTGCAGTCAGCATGCCAATTGCACGCTCCCTCAACTTGAGACATCTGTGGCATTGTGTTGTGACAAAACTGCACATTTTAGAGTGGCCTTTATTGTCCCCAGCACAAGCACCTGTGTAATGATCATGCTGTTTAATCAGCTTCTTGATATGCCACACCTGTCAGGTGGATGGATTATCTTGGCAAAGGAGAAATGCTCACTAACAGGGATGTAAACAAATTTGTGCACAGAATGAGAGAAATACGCTTTTTGTGCGTATGGAAAATTTCTGCAATCTTTTATTTCAGCTCATGAAACCAACACTTTACATGTTGCGTTTATATTTTTGTTCAGTGTAGATAACGATAATTTCAGAGCTTTATAATCTAGTGCAGAATGTGCCCTTAAGAATTCTAGTGAATGTGCAAGTTTAACAACTTTGAATGATTAATTAAATGAGATTGCCATGGAGCCAAGAATGGGTATTTAAACAGCCCCATATGCTCAGGAGCTTCAGGTTCCTGACCCCTGTCTACGATGTCTCTTGGATTAAATAGAAAACGCTAATTATTTTTCATGCAGACTTGAAAGTTAGTAGGATGGCTGTATGCCTTGCAAAACCATTGCGCTTTATTATCATTTTCATCTGTGAAAATAAATGAGTTTTTGGCGAACATTACAAAAATAACCAATGCCAGTGCAATAAAAGTATATTTCAGTCATGTAACACAACAATAAGCTCTGCTATGTTAGCTGGAGGGATCACTAAACTTTTCGATACTGACAAACGCATCCGTCTGTTGGTTGCAGTCAGGTGAAAAAAACGTCCACCCTTTGACATTCTTGGAATGTTCCACAATAACAAAACACTACTTGGATAGATTCACTCAACACTGGGTTACTGAGCTAACTCTTTGATAACGGGGGAGGCGATTCTCCTGCTAATGATATCGCAGCATTCTTCACTGTTGTGTACACTACAAAAGAAGAAACGGATAAGTTCCTAGAACAAGCTGCATTTCAGATCACTTTGAAAATAACATTTTTAACGCATAATGATAGACCAGAGTTTGAGTTGGACCTTTTCAAACAGAGCTCACTGTCTATCTGCTCCAGTTATTTCCCTTTGGTCTCTGGTAACAGGAAATGGAACACCACAGCTCCCACTCCAATCAGCCCATATGAAAGGAACGTCCCAGACAAACCAATCGCATCTGTTGACGAAACATCAACAACTTAATTGCCAGGTACTACCAATACAGATAACAAACCAGACTTGATTGAATGTGAGTTCATAGAGGGAGAAGCTTACTTACCAATGACATTAAAGAAGGAGAATGTGACAATTAAGTTGGCAGCCCAGTTGGAGAATGCAAACGCTCTCCCTCTGACCACAGCAGGGAATATTTCACTCAAAATGAGCCAGGTCACTATGCAAAGGAAAATGCACAAACAATCTAAAATCATTCACAAGACACCACATATCATTGTCAAAAGCAGGATTTAGCTAGTGTTTACAATAACCTTGTGGCCCCACATTTAGATACCTTGCCAGAAAATAAGCATATTCTGAATTATTCCAGGTGAAAGTACTCACTTGGTCCAAATCCAACGGAGGGTATAGTAGACTGGTATGTTTTGTTACACTCAGAGTCAATAATGGGGCATTGAGATGGGCTGTTAGCAAACATTTGAAACGTTTGAGGGGGGCTTGACTTGTAGACAGTCCAGTCATGTATTCCAGGTGTGAAAGGGCAGTGTGGAGCGCAATAGAGATTGCATCATCTGTGGATCTGTTGGGGCGGTATGCAAATTGGAGTGGGTCTAGGGTTTCTGGGATAATGGTGTTGATGTGAGCCATGACCAGCCTTTCAATGCACTTCATGGCTACAGACGTGAGTGCTACGGGTCGGTAGTCATTTAGGAAGGTTACCTTATCTTACTTAAATCTTTCCATCATGGAGTCATGGAAAGATTTAAGTAATATTTTAGAAGGTGACTGGTGCTGAGCTTGATGTTGAGGCCGCTGCAGATGTTGATGGGATCGGACTCTAAATAGAACACATACAGTACATTCGGAAACTATTCAGACCCCTTGACTTTTCACATTTGTTACTTTACAGCCTTATTTTAAAATGGATTAAATTGTGTTGACACAGAATACCCCATAATCGACACGCAATACCCCATAATGATAAACCAACAACTGGATTTTAGAAATGTTTGCAAAATGTATTAAAATTAAACATTGAAATCACATTTACATAAGTATTCAGACCCTTTACTCAGTACTTTGTTGAAGTAACTTTGGCAGTGATTACAGCCTCGAGGCTTCCTGGGTATGACACTACAAGCTTGGCACACCTGTATTTGGGGAGTTTCTCCCATTCTTCTCTGCAGATCTTCTCAAGCTCTGTCAGGTTGGATCCTGAGCGCTCTGGAGCAGGTTTTCATCAAGGATCTCTCTGTACTTTGCTCCGTTCATCTTTCCCTCGATCCTGACTAGTCTCTCAGTCCCTGCCGCTGAAAAACATCCCCACAGCATGATACTGCCACCACCATGCTTCACCGTAGGGATGGTGCAAGGTTTCCTCCAGACGTGACGCTTGGCATTCAGGCCAAATAGTTCAATCTTGGTTTTGTCAGACCAGATAATCTTGTTTCTTATGGTCTGAGTCCTTTAGGTGCCTTTTGGCAAACTCCAAGCGGGCTGTCATGTGCCTTTTACTGAGGAGTGGCTTCCATCTGGCAACTCTACCATAAAGGCCTGATTGGTGGAGTGCTGCAGAGATGGTTGTCCTTCTGGAAGGTTGTCCCATTTCCACAGAGGAACTGTGGAGCTCTGTCAGTGACCAGCGGGTTCTTGGTCACCTCCCTGACCAAGGCCCTTCTCCCCCGATTGCTCAGTTTGGCCGGGCGGCCAGCTGTAGGAAGAGTCTTGATGGTTCCAAACTTCTCCATTTAAGAATGATTGAGGCCACTGTGTTCTTGAGGACCTTCAATGCTGCAGATATTTTTTGGTACCTTTCCCCAGATCTTTGCCTCGACACAATCCTGTCTCGGAGCTCTACAGACAATTCCTTCAATCTCATGGCTTGGTTTTTGCTCTGACATGCACTGTCAACTGTCGGACCTTATATAGACAGGTGTGTACCTTTCCAAATCATGTCCAATCAATTGAATTTCCCACAGGTGGACTCCAATCAAGTTGTAGAAACATCTCAAGGATGATCAATGGAAACAGGATACACCTGAGCTCAATTTCGAGTATCATAACAAAGGGTCTGAATACTTAAGTAAATAAGGTATTTAAGTTTTTTATTTTTAAAACATTTGCAAAAATGTCAGAACCTGTTTTCGCTTTGTCATTATGGGGTATTGTGTGTAGATTGAAAAAAATGAATTTAATCATTTTTAGAATAAGGCTGTAATGTAACAAAATGCGAAAAAGGGAAGGGGTCTGAATACTTTCTGAATGCACTGTATAATCACGTTAGCCTCAGAACGAAATGGATTTCAAATAATTGAACCGACATTGGTCAATTAGTTAGTTAAAAACCGAAAAATAACCTACATTTCAGATAATTGCGCAACACTATTAACTAACCCTTCCACTAACCCTAACCTTAACTCCTAACCTAACATAGCATATCATACTAAAGCAGTCGAACGCAATATCTCATACTAAACGGGTCAAATGCAAGCAAGACGTAGGATACTATACATCCTACAATTCGCATTATATTGTACAACCGCTATTACATTGGTAGGCCAATGTAAAGTAACCTAACGTAAAGTAACATATACTAAATGGAGTGGCACGCATTTTTGTAAAATATTGTACGTTTTAAATCAAATATAAACATAAGGAAAGTATCCTTCATGACGTAAATGTAAAATAAAATAAACTCTAGTTTAAATGACTATACATCTTTATATGGTTAGGGTTACTGTTCCCACACGGCCATAGCTCCATGTTACAGCCTTGTTTACGGAAGGCAGACTGAAGACAGAACCTACCATCTGTGCTAATTAGCTATCTGTCATGCTCGAACACCTGTGTGCTATCGTAACTGGGGAGGAAGTGTAGTTCGTCGGCTGGAGGCACACAGCCGTATGGATCGGACCTGCTACAGTAAGTGTATTTTTTTTGGGGAAAGACAATGTTTTTGTTAATATAAGTTCCATACAGTTGCTCAATTATGATCCTCGTCAGTTTTACGCCGAAACGGAAGGTGGCAGCCGTTTCAAATACAAGCAATTGTGCCAACTGTCAGGAAGAGGGACGATACAGCGATTTGTAAACATGGCTGTTGCGGGGACCAGCGTGGCCCTCCCGCAGTTTCTAAAGAATATAGAACTGATAAAACAGGGTGCAGAAGCTCGTGTATATCAGGGGTCGTTTTTGGGCAAGCCAACCATTGTAAAAGAAAGGTTTCCGAAATTGTATAGACACCCGTTGTTGGATGAAAAACTCACACATCGCAGAACCGTGCAAGAGGTGCGCTCAATACTTCGCTGTCGAAAAGCTGGTGAGTAGCGTTAACCCTAGATATAGCTGAGGAAAGCTCATCTCCGTACTCTTATATCAATGCGGAGTTGAGTATTGATAACTGGTCGCGCGAAATTCATACTTTTAATAAAAACGTATCATATACATTTGTGTTACTCAACTGGAGGCGTAGCGGCCTAGAGGTACGCTTCATGTCCACCAGATGCATTGCTTTCCGTCGGAAGTCATTCTTTGGCAATGGAGCAGTCCGCAACGCTACGATGGGGGTGCTGCGGTGCGTTCTGTGTACCGCATGCATTCAATATTTTCAACTCGTGCGTTGCTTTACCTTGCGGTGGTACAAACGAAAGTACACATACAGACTTCAACTTGCTAGCTTTTAGCCAATGATTTTTTAAATAACTAACCCAAGATAGACCTAGACCAGAGGCTGTGGTTTCAAATTGGAGTAAGTTAATCATAATGGGCAGAACCAAGCACGTGTTAGTGAGATCCTATTGGCGCATTCTAGCATTCAGTTGCATATTTCCGTTATGGAATGTCTGAAGTGCGTGTGCAGTAACTCAATTCGACCTTGCACTCCTAAACAATGCCATTTCTTAACTTTTGCAAATGGTAAAGTATTGGAGATCGTAGTTTTGGAAACAGAAAAATGTATGGACATCAAATGTTTCATCAATGACGAAATTAGCAGAATGTCAACCAAAGTCCATCTTCCACTGCCTTACCACTGGGCGCTTCACATTTAGCCTATACAGTGCATTCGGAAAGTACCCCTTCCCTTTTTCCACATTTTGTTACATTACAGCCTTATTCTAAAATTGATTAAATTACATGTTTTCCTCATCAATCTACACACAATACCTCATAATGACAAAGCGAAAACAGGTTTTCAGACATTTTTTGCAAATGTATTAAAAATAAAAAACAAAAACCTTATTTACATAAGTATTCAGACCCTTTGCTATGAGACTCGAAATTGAGCTCAGCTGCATCCTCTTTCCATTGATCATCCTTGAGATGTTTCTACAACTTGGAGTCCACCTGTGGGACATTCAATTGATTGGACATGATTTCGAAAGGCACACACCTGTCTATATAAGGTCCAACAGTTGTCAGAGCAAAAACCAAGCCAGGTCGAAGGGAATTGTCCGTAAAGCGCCGAGAACGGATTGTGGCGAGGCACAGATCTGGAGAAGGGTACCAAAACATTTCTGCAGCATTGAAGGTCCCCAAGAACACTGGCCTCCATCATTCTTAAATGGAAGAAGTTTGGAACCACCAAGACTCTTCTTAGAGCTGGCCACCCGGCCAAACTGAGCAATCATGGGAGAAGGGCCTTGGCCAGGGAGGTGACCAAGAACCTGATGGTCACTCTGACAGAGCTCCAGAGTTCTTCTTTGGAGATGGGAGAACCTTCCAGGAGGACAACCATCTCTGCAACACTCCACCAATCAGGGCTTTATGGTACAGTGGCCAGACGGAAGCCACTCTTCAGTAAAAGGCACATGACAGCCCGCTTGGAGTTTGCCAAAATGCACCTAAAGGACTCTCAGACCATGAGAAACAAGATTCTCTGGTCTGATGAAACCAAGATTGACCTCTTTGGCCTGATTGCCAAGCGTCACGTCTGGAGGAAACCTGGCACCATTCCTACGGTGAAGCATGGTGGTGGCAGCATCATGCTGTGGGGATGTTTTTCAGCGGCAGAGACTGGGAGACTAGTCAGGATCGAGGGAAGATGAGCGGCACAAACTACAGAGAGATCCTTGATGAAAACCTGCTCCAGAGCGCTCAGGACCTCAGACTGGGGCTAAGGTTCACCTTCCAACAGGACAACGATTCTAAGCACACAGCCAAGACAGCGCAGGAGTGGCTTCGGGACAAGTCTCTGAATGTCCTTGAGTGGCCAAGCCTGAGCCCAGACTTGAACTTGATCAACCATCTCCAGAGAGCCCTGAAAATAGCTGTGCAGCGACACTCCCCATCCAACCTTGACAGAGCTTGAGAGGATCTGCAGAGAAGAATGGGAGAAACTCCCCAAATACAGGTGTGCCAAGCTTGTGACGTCATACCCAAGAAGACTTAAGGCCTTAATCGCTGCCGAAGGTGCTTCAACATAGTACTGAGTAAAGGGTCTGAATACTTATGTAAATGTGATACTTCTGTTTTTTTCTCCCCAATTTTGATCTTGTCTCATCGCTAAAACTCCCCAACGGGCTTCGGAGAGGCGAAGGTCGAGTCATGCATCCTCGCTAAAACATGACACGCTAAAACCGCGCTTCTTAACACCCGCCTGCTTAACCCGGCAGCACCAATGTATCAGAGGAAACACAGTTCAACTGATGACCGAAGTCAGCCTGCAGGCGCCCAGCCCGCTACAAGGAGTCGCTAGAGCGCAATGAGCCAAGTAAAGCCCCCCGACCGAACCCTCCCCTAACCCAGACGACCCTGGGCCAAACCCTCCCCTAACCCGGACGACGTTGGGCCAATTATGCGGCACCCTATGGTACTCCCGATCACGGCCGGTTGTGACACAGCCTGGGATCGAACCCGGGTCTGTAGTGACGCCTCAAGCACTGCGATGCAGTGCCTTAGACCGCTGCGCCACTCGGGAGGCCCCTTTTTAAAAAATTTAATATTTTTTATAAATTAGCAAATATGTCACCCTGATTTTTGCTTTGTCACTATGGGGTGTTGTGTGTAGATGAGGATATGTAAAAATATAAATTAAACTTTTACAATAAGGCTGTAACGTAACAAAATCTGGAAAAAGTGAAGGGGTCTGAATACTTTCCAAATGCACTGTACATCTGGTGAAATATCTGGCTCATTGTTCTATGTTTTAGCTAGTTGAAAAGTGAAGCACATATACGGATAAGGCGGGCTAGACATCCAGCAAAACCAGTGGTGGAAAAAGTACCCAATTGTCATACTTGAGTGAAAGTAAAGATACTTTAATAGAAAATGACTCAAGTGAAAGTCACCCAATAAAATACTACTTGAGTACAAGTCTAAAAGTATTTGGTTTTAAATGTACTTAAGTATCAAAAGTAAATGTAAATGCTCAAATATACTTAAGTATCAAAATAAATCATTTAAAATTCCTTTATATTAAGCAAACCAGACAGAACCTTATTTTTTTCGGATAGCCAGGGACACACTCCAACACTCAGACATAATTTACAAATGAAGCATGTGTGTTTAGTGAGTCCGCCTGATCAGGCAGTAGGGATGACCAGGGATGTTCTCTTGATAAGTGCTTGAATTGCACCATTTTCCTGTCCTACTAAGCATTCAAAATGGAACAAGTACTTTTGGGTGTCACGGAAAATGTATGGAGTAAAAATAACAATTTTCTTTAGGAATGTAGTGGAGTTAAAAGTAAAAGTTGTCAAAAATATAAATAGTACAGATACCCCCCAAAAACAGCTTAAGCAGTACTTTCAAGTATTTTTACTTAAGTACTTTAAACCACTGGGCAAAACAAAACGCATATGCATCTGGTGGACATCGGGCAATAAGCCAAGATTCAATTGGCACAAGCACATTCACACTGAGTTGAGCAACACAAATGAGGAAAACGTTGGTTGTGGTATTGGATAACGTTTTATTTAAAGTATGAATTTCACCACCCAGCAGAAGGACCGCAGTTGTACAGGACAAACGTAGGTACAGGTAAGCGTTTTCAGGATTTTAATTTTTTTGCTAGCAAATCGCGTGCCCATTTATCAATACTCAACTCCACCTCATTTTCGAACGCATTTTAAAGCTGCAATATGTAACCTTTTGTGAGACCTGACCAAATTCACATAGAAATGTGTGTTATATCTGTCATTCTCATTGAAAGCAAGTCTAAGAAGCAGTAGATCAGTTCTATGTGTGCTATTTCAATGCTTTCCATTCTTACGTTTAATTTGCTTCTTTTTTGTTTGGTTTTGTACACCAGATAAACATACAATAATTTAGGTTATGGAAAATATATTTCACAGCGGTTTAAATGGTACAATGATCCTCTACACTAGACTTGTTTGTTTTGTCACAAACTGAAATTAGGCTAACTATTAGAATTTGAGTAACCAGGAAATGGCAGAGCGATTTTTGCATAGTGCGTATTTAAAACACAGAAGCCAAATGGGGAAACTATGGATACATCTTCCTGCTCGAACATTATCATAATTCATATGTGCTCCACTAGAAATCCCTGCATTAGCATGTTTCTGTTAGCTGATACATCTTGACCAAATACACCATATTACTGGCCTGCTAAAGTGCCTGGACCTTGTAGGCTAAACTGCAGAGGATAGACCCATAACTGATCCAAATGCTTTGTAGACTTGTTTACATGAATATGCTTCTTAATAAAACCTATTTGAAACAAGCCATTACACTTCGTTATTATCATTTTTATATTGACAACATTAATGGAGTCAAAATAAAGATATGCCTTCCTTGTATGTTGGCCTTTCTGCATATATACAGTGGGGAGAACAAGTATTTGATACACTGCCGATTTTGCAGGTTTTCCTACTTACAAAGCATGTAGAGGTCTGTAATTTGTATCATAGGTACACTTGAACTGTGAGAGCCGGAATCTAAAACAAAAATCCAGAAAATCACATTGTATGATTTCTAAGTAATTAATTTGCATTTTATTGCATGACATAAGTATTTGATCACCTACCAACCAGTAAGAATTCCGGCTCTCACAGACCTGTACGTTTTTCTTTAAGAAGTCCTCCTGTTCTCCACTCATTACCTGTATTAACTGCACCTGTTTGAACTCGTTACCTGTATAAAAGACACCTGTCCACACACTCAATCAAACAGACTCCAACCTCTCCACAATGGCCAAGACCAGAGAGCTGTGTAAGGACATCAGGGATAAAATTGTAGACTTGCACAAGGCTGGGATGGGCTACAGGACAATAGGCAAGCAGCTTGGTGAGAAGGCAACAACTGTTGGCGCAATTATTAGAAAATTGAAGAAGTTCAAGATGACGGTCAATCACTCTCGGTCTGGGGCTCCATGCAAGATCTCACCTCGTGGGGCATCAATGATCATGAGGAAGGTGAGGGATCAGCCCAGAACTACACGGCAGGACCTGGTCAATGACCTGAAAAGAGCTGGGACTACAGTCTCAAAGAAAACCATTAGTAACACACTACGCCGTCATGGATTAAAATCCTGTAACGCACGCAAGGTCCCCCTGCTCATGCCAGCGCATGTCCAGGCCCGTCTGAAGTTTGCCAATGACCATCTGGACGATCCAGAGGAGGAATGGGAGAAAGTCATGTGGTCTGATGAGACAAAAATAGAGCTTTTTGGTCTAAACTCCACTCGCCTTGTTTGGAGGAAGAAGAAGGATGAGAACAACCCCAAGAACACCATCCCAACCGTGAAGCATGGAGGTGGAAACATAATTCTTTGGGGATGCTTTTCTGCAAAGGGGACAGGACGACTGCACCGTATTGAGGGGGGGATGGATGGGGCCATGTAACGCGAGATCTTGGCCAACAACCTCCTTCCCTCAGTAAGAGCATTGAAGATGGGTCATGGCTGGGTCATCCAGCATGACAACGACCCGAAACACACAGCCAGGGCAACTAAGGAGTGGCTCCGTAAGAAGCATCTCAAGGTCCTGGAGTGGCCTAGCCAGTCTCCAGACCTGAACCCAATAGAAAATCTTTGGAGGGAGCTGAAAGTCCGTATTGCCCAGCGACAGCCCCGAAACCTGAAGGATCTGGAGAAGGTCTATATGGAGGAGTGGGCCGAAATCCCTGCTGCAGTGTGTGCAAACCTGGTCAAGACCTACAGGAAACGTATGATCTCTGTAATTGCAAACAAAGGTTTCTGTACCAAATATTAAGTTCTGCTTTTCTGATGTATCAAATACTTATGTCATGCAATAAAATGCAAATTAATTACTTAAAAATCATACAATGTGATTTTTTGGATTTTTGTTTTAGATTCCGTCTCTCACAGTTCAAGTGTACCTATGATAAAACATTACAGACCTCAACATGCTTTGTAAGTAGGGAAACCTGCAAAATCGTCAGTGTATCAAATACTTGTTTTCCCCACTGTAGCCTACTGTTAAGGACCTTATCTGTTCAGAGGTACAGGAAACTGTCTCTGGCAGCCAAAACTGACAAATACTCCATTAAACCTGAATTGATTCTCAATTGTGATACGGTTCTAGAAACATAAAACCCTCTACTTTCATATCACATCAAAATCATTTTTAAAATGCTAAACATATGCTTACTATAGTGTACACTGTTTTAACACAGTTGCAGCTGACCGTATTTCTCAGTTACAACACTTTTCTGGCATCTTTCCTTTACACATAGATGTTCGGAGAAGCTAATGTTAGATAGCTAATTAAACGTTAGATAACGTAGCTAATTAGAACAGGTAATCTCCTTTCTCTTGGCCTTGTGGGGGTCGTGTTAAAAGGATGTAGTAATTTTACCTTTTTGGTTTTATGACAATTATTTCTCGATTTATATGAAAGTAAAGTTTCAAAGGTTTCCAAAACCATATCGCAAGTGAGAATTATGAACGTGTAGACAGAGCGTCGGACTGTTGTACGCAGTCCTGCGCCGTCGTCAGTGCTTCAACTGAGAACCAGAGGGAGCCGTCTTTTGTGAACAAGAGGTAGTGAGTGACTACAGGGGTTCTATGCAATAATCTTCAATCTTAAAATAAATGTATGTTGCAGAGCTGCATCGCACTGCAGAGGTACTGTGGTGTCCAGAACTGGACAGCTGTCAAATTTTTCCAATACAGGATGTTGATGATTGCTAGGCCTATACTGTTTTAGCGCAGATCATACGCTAAATATACAAAAGTATGTGGACAACCCTTCAAATTAGTGGATTCGGCTATTTCAGCCACACCCGTTTGCGACAGGTCTATAAAATCGAGCACACAGCCATGAAATCTCCATAGACAAACATTGGCAGTAGAATGGCTTTACTGAAGAACTCAGTGACTTTCAACGTGGCACCGTCATAGGATGCCACCTTTCCAACAAGTCAGTTTGTCACATTTCTGCCCTGCTAGAGCTGCCCCGGTCAACTGTAAGTGCTGTTATTGTGAAGTGGAAACGTCTAGGAGCAACAACGGCTCAGCCGTGAAGTGGTAGGCCACACAAGCTCACAGAACGGGACCACCGAGTACTGAAGCGCACAGAGCATAAAAATCGTCTGTCCTCTGTTGTAACACCCACTACCGAGTACCAACCTGCCTCTGGAAAGAAGGTCAGTGCATGAACTGTTCATCGGGAGCTTAATGAAATGGGTTTCCATGGTGAGCAGCCACACAAGCCTAAGATCACCATGTGCAATGCCAAGCGTTGGCTGGCGTGGTGTAAAGCTCACTGCCATTTTTTCATGGTTCGGGCTAGGCCCCTTAGTTCCAGTGAAGGGGAATCTTAACTCTACAGCATACAATGACATACTAGACGATTCTGTGCTTCCAACTTTGTGGCAACAGTTTGGGGAAGGCCCTTTCCTGTTTTAGCATGACATTTCCCCCGTGCACAAACTGAAGTCCATACAGAACAGGTTTGTCAATATCTGGTGTGGAAGAACTTGACTGGCCTGCACAGAGCCCTGGCCTCAACCCCATCAAACACCTTTGGGATGAATTGGAACGCCGACTGCGATCCAGGGCTAATCGCCCAACATTAGTGCCCGACCTCACTAATGCTCTTGTGGCTGAATGGAAGCAAGTCCCTGCAGCAATGTTCCAACATCTAGTGGTAAGCCTTCCCAGAAGAGTGGCGGCTGTTTTAGCAGCAAAGGGGGCACCAACTCCATATTTAGGCCCATGATTTTGGAATGAGATGTTGGTCGAGCATACTTTTGGCCATGTAGTGTACACATATTAGATAAGATACAGGCCTGTCTAACCCTGATCTGCATTAGTGTCTAATTATACCAACCCAGAGAAGATGAATAGAAGAGAGATATAGATAGAGAAGGCAAAGGAAGAGAAGAGATAGGAGGAGAATCGAGGAGATAAGAGAGAGAGCGAGATAAGATAGATGCGAAGATATATTATATCTATAGACTAGATATTCTCTCTATCTCTCCTTCGTCATCTCTCTCTCTCTTCTCGTCTCTCTCTCTCTCTCTTCTCTCTCCTCGCTCTGTCTCTCTCTCTCTCTCTCTCTCTCTCTCTCTCTGTCTCTCTCTCTCTCTCTCTCTCTCTGTCTCTCTCTGTCTCTCTCTCTCTCTCTCTGTCTCTGTCTCTCTCTCTCTCTCTGTCTCTCTGTCTCTCTCTCTCTCTCTCTCTGCTCTCTCGCTCTCTCGCTCTCTCGCTCTCTCGCTCTCTCGCTCTCTCGCTCTCTCTCTCTCTCTAGGCATATCTGCACCAGTAGTCTACTTTGTAGACTACACCTCCCACTGCATATTCCTTGAAGACATCGTTGGCTCCATCACAGTGCGAGACCACATTGCCTCCACCCAGAAAAGCCCAGAGGAACGCCTGGACCAGCTCGCAAAGAAGATGGGTCAGATTCTGGCCAAAATGCATGATGAGGACGTTGTCCATGGAGACTTGACCACGTCCAACATGCTGTTGAAGGCGGGCGCTGAGAGTGGAGAGATGGAGCTGGTCCTCATTGACTTTGGCCTGAGCTACATATCGTCGCTGCCCGAGGACAAGGGAGTGGACATGTACGTGCTGGAGAAAGCTTTCCTCAGCACCCACCCCAACACTGAGGCTCTGTTCGAGAAGCTGCTGAAGGCCTATGCAGCCTCGTCCAAGAAGTCCCATGCTGTCATCAAAAAGCTTGACGAAGTTCGGTTGAGAGGGAGAAAGAGGTCGATGGTTGGTTGAGAGGGAGAAAGAGGTCGATGGTTGGTTGAGAGGGAGAAAGAGGTCGATGGTTGGTTGAGAGGGAGAAAGAGGTCGATGGTTGGTTGAGAGGGAGAAAGAGGTCGATGGTCGGTTAAAGGTAACCTACGAGATCATTTGTGCAAATGCATTTACAAGGACATGCCCTGCTTGGCACTGATTTGTTAAAAGTTCTATTTGATATTTGTATGGAAGCATATCGGTATAGAGACTGTCAGTGCCACAATGTTACGTTACTACAAATAGTTATTTTGAAATAAAATACTGTTCGCTTTATTGGTTTTGTGTTTGTTTGTGTTTTTTCTTTCACTGTTTATTTCAGTGTGTTGAGAATGTAGAATGCGGTTCCTCAATCAGCCCCACACGGTGTCAGGCAATGATTTTCAGTTCTATTTCTATTGGACCTTTCTGACGCACACAACCACAATATTCACTGTTAAGTAACCAAGTCCATATTTGGTAACTTATGAGCTTTCCTGTGACTCAATTGGAGCATGGGAACGCACATGACTGAGATCCGTGTCGAAGTTTACTTTCAGAATTGCTCTCCAGTCCCAATGCACCTGCCACAGTAAAAAATCCAAGGTGACTACCAATGAATAGCAGCTGGGATATTAAACATGTCATTACGATTATGCTCATTATTTTGCATTGTAAAGGTAAGACGAAAAACTGTCCAGTGTTTTGATTGTCTTTGTAGTGTAACTACAGGTTTCTTAGGAGTAGTGGGACAAAGGTCAAAGTCAGTCCTAGAAGCGAACAACAGTATTTGCCTTGGCTACAAAACAAGTTATTCTCAATTTTTTCACATGTAATCCCGATGCATTACTACATTTATGGGAAGATATCCTACAGTAGCTCTTTATGCTATGCATGTTTTTTATGTAACAGCAGAGAATAGTTGTCCGTTTTGATAATGGGGCATCGTGGTTAGAGAGGCGGGCTGTTAACCGGAGGATTGCCAGGTCGAACCCTTGAGCTGCCTGTGGGGAAATATGCAAGGAGTGATCTGGCAGCCGTAGGATTGCCAGCTTTAATATCCCTGTATACTACCTACCGCCCTTGAGCAAGGCACTTTACCCCTAAGTGCTCCCAGGGGTGCTGCTTCCAGTGTGTTAGGTTGGGTACCGTGACAGCAAAAAAGAAATATCTGTGCAAATTGACCAATAAAGTATTGTATCCTATGTATTGATTGTGAATCAGGGTGATATCATTAAATACATGCAAGCTACATGCTGCAGTCATGTGCAATATTAAAATACAGCAGCAAGGCACTCAACCCCAAACTCTCATGACTGAGATAAAAAGATATCACCTAAACTGGTTTGTGTTTTGGACTTTTTAGGTGCAAATGCCGAGTCTACAAAGAAGATCGCCATTTTAGCTGGCACGGACGTTACCTTAAACTGCTTTTTCAACAATCCTGAACATGTACCGCTGAAGAAAATCACGGTTGAGTGGGGGATCATGGTGGATAAAGAGACCATAAAGCACCTAGTATATACGTTCCAGAACGAGAGCGGCAAGGTGCATCGTGAAGGGTCCCAAGTCGACCAAACAGGGTTGCTTCAGGGCAATGCCTCCCTTCATTTGTTCAACGTGACTGTGGCTGATGAGGGACTCTACCGCTGCAGAGTGATCATCACTCCCAACATATACAAAGTCTCCTCTCAGCTGGAAGTATCAGGTGCTGTCTGATATGCTATATGTGCCCCTTCTTTTGTACGTTTTATCACCAGAACATTTTAGCCCAGCGGGAAATGAAGCCATGATATGCAGTGGAGGCTGTTGAAAAGAGGACGGCTCATAGTAATGACTGGAATGGAGTGTGTTTGATACTGTTCCAGTCATTACAATGAGCCGGTCCTCCAATTTTAAAGTGACACCATCCTCCACTGATACTACGATAGTATTGATATTGCTGTGAAAGTTTAGAAAAGGCCTCCAGTAGTATCCTAATGGGTGTATCTTATTGTTTAAATAATGACATGGCTTTACCTTACACCCACTCAGGCTTAGTTCACAACTTCACACACAGGCTTTGTTCACAACTTCACACACAGGCTTAGTTCACAACTTCACACTCAGGCTTAGTTCACAACAAGCCTGAGTTCACAACTTCACACTCCGGCTTAGTTCACAACTTGACACTCAGGCTGTGTGTACAATGTATTTGATTGTGTGTGAACTAGGATACAGTGAGGGAAATGAATTCACTCTCTTTCCTCCATCTTTTCCCTACAGCCAGACCCTCAGTGTCCCTCCCAGAGACAGCCACGGTGATGGAGGGGGAGGAAAGGACATTGATGTGTGACATCATGGGATTCTACCCAGAGAATCTGGCCGTGACCTGGCTGATCCAAAATGGCTCCCGGGTGGCCCGTGGGAGCATGGCTCGCGGGACCGTCTCGCGTGACGTGTGCACCGGAATGGCTGTGCCCAATCCAGACGGCACCTACAGTGTCAGCAGTCGCATCACTGTCCAGGCTACAACCGTAGGGAGCGGAGGAGCCATGTACATCTGTCACATCGAACATAGGTCCTACCCTGATGGGAAATACAGCAAAAGCATTTTGTTGACCGTGCAAGGTGGGAAGCCAATACACCGCTCTCCTATTCACTTCATATTGGGATTCATAACAAATTATACTGTATTGTCCCCATGGGAAAATGTTGCTTGCAGCTCTGTGCAGAAATTAAAAGATGTCATTAAGCATACAGACAAATACAGATAATAAATACAATGAGAATAGAACAAATGCAATTGGGTGATTTTAAAAATGATTCAACTGAACACTACTATACACAGTGTATTTCAATGGACTGAAAGTCAATTTCAGTGTATTTATAGTGTATTTCATCAGCTAATCAACATGTACTTATAACTCCTCTCTCATCAGATCCAGGGTTTAATGCTGTAACACTGATGGTAGTTACTAGTCTTGTTAGTGTTCTTCTGGTCTTCTCCGTCATCGGTGGTGCAATGGTCTTCTACAGGTATTTTTTCACAGGTACGTTGACATCCAAGAAGTGATTAGTACAGTGAGGGAATTAAGAATTTGATCCCCTGCTGATTTTGTACGTTTGCCCACTGACAAAGAAATGATCAGTCTATAATTTTAATGGTAGGTTTATTTGAACAGTGAGAGACAGAATAACAACAAAAAAATCCAGAAAAACGCATGTCAAAAATGTTATAAATTGATTTGCATTTTAATGAGGGAAATAAGTATTTGACCCCCTCTCAATCAGAAAGATTTCTGGCTCCCAGGTATCTTTTATACATGTAACGAGCTGAGATTAGGAGCACACTCTTAAAGGGAGTGCTCCTAATCTCAGTTTGTTACCTGTATAAAAGACACCTGTCCACAGAAGCAATCAATCAATCAGATTCCAAACTCTCCATGGCCAAGACCAAAGAGCTCTCCAAGGATGTCAGGGACAAGATTGTAGACCTACACAAGGCTGGAATGGGCTTTAAGACCATCACCAAGCAGCTTGGTGAGAAGGTGACAACAGTTGGTGCGATTATTCGCAAATGGAAGAAACACAAAATAACTGTCAATCTCCCTCACCTTGTGGAGTTGCAATGATCATGAGAACGGTGAGGAATCAGCCCAGAACTACACGGGAGGATCTTGTCAATGATCTCAAGGCAGCTGGGACCATAGTCACCAAGAAAACAATTGGTAACACACTACGCCGTGAAGTACTGAAATCCTGCAGCGCCCGCAAGGTCCCCCTGCTCAAGAAAGCACATATACAGGGCCGTCTGAAGTTTGCCAATGAACATCTGAATGATTCAGAGGAGAACTGTGTGAAAGTGTTGTGGTCAGATGAGACCAAAATCGAGCTCTTTGGCATCAACTCAACTCGCCGTGTTTGGAGGAGGAGGAATGCTGCCTATGACCCCAAGAACACTATCCCCACCGTCAAACATGGAGGTGGAAACATTATGCTTTGGGGGTGTTTTTCTGCTAAGGGGACAGGACAACTTCACCGCATCAAAGGGACGATGGACGGGGCCATGTACCGTCAAATCTTGGGTGAGAACCTCCTTCCCTCAGCCAGGGCATTGAAAATGGGTCGTGGATGGGTATTCCAGCATGACAATGACCCAAAACACACGGCCAAGGCAACAAAGGAGTGGCTCAAGAAGAAGCACATTAAGGTCCTGGAGTGGCCTAGCCAGTCTCCAGACCTTAATCCCATAGAAAATCTGTGGAGGGAGCTGAAGGTTCGAGTTGCCAAACATCAGCCTCAAAACCTTAATGACTTGGAGAAGATCTGCAAAGAGGAGTGGGACAAAATCCCTCCTGAGATGTGTGCAAACCTGGTGGCCAACTACAAGAAACGTCTGACCTCTGTGATTGCCAACAAGGGTTTTGCCACAAAGTACTAAGTCATGTTTTGCAGAGGGGTCAAAATCGTATTTCCCTCATGAAAATGCAAATCAATTTATAACATTTTTGACATGCGTTTTTCTGGATTTTTTAGTTGTTATTCTGTCTCTCACTGTTCAAATAAACCTACCATTAAAAGTATAGACTGATCATGTCTTTGTCAGTGGGCAAATGTACAAAATCAGCAGGGGATCAAATACTTTTTTCCCTCACTGTAGATTCAGGTGTGTTCTGTTGTGCTGGGGTAGAACCAAAGCCTGCACACCTTGTAGCATGGTGACTACGACGTAGCATGGTGACTACTGATGTTGCATGGTGAAAACTGATGTAGCATGGTGACTACTGATGTAGCATGGTGACTACTGATGTAGCATGGTGACTACTGACAGCATGGTGACTACTGACAGCATGGTGAAAACTGAAGTAGCATGGTGACTACTGATGTAGCATGGTGACTACTGATGTAGCATGGTGACTACTGACAGCATGGTGAAAACTGAAGTAGCATGGTGACTACTGATGTAGCATGGTGACTACTGATGTAGCATGGTGACTACTGACAGCATGGTGACTACTGACAGCATGGTGAAAACTGAAGTAGCATGGTGACTACTGATGTAGCATGGTGACTACTGACAGCATGGTGACTACTGACAGCATGGTGAAAACTGATGTAGCATGGTGACTACTGATGTAGCATGGTGACTACTGATGTAGCATGGTGAAAACTGAAGTAGCATGGTGACTACTGATGTAGCATGGTGACTACTGACAGCATGGTGACTACTGACAGCATGGTGACTACTGACAGCATGGTGAAAACTGAAGTAGCATGGTGACTACTGATGTAGCATGGTGACTACTGACAGCATGGTGACTACTGACAGCATGGTGAAAACTGATGTAGCATGGTGACTACTGATGTAGCATGGTGACTACTGATGTAGCATGGTGAAAACTGAAGTAGCATGGTGACTACTGATGTAGCATGGTGACTACTGATGTAGCATGGTGACTACTGACAGCATGGTGACTACTGACAGCATGGTGAAAACTGAAGTAGCATGGTGACTACTGATGTAGCATGGTGACTACTGACAGCATGGTGACTACTGACAGCATGGTGAAAACTGATGTAGCATGGTGACTACTGATGTAGCATGGTGACTACTGATGTAGCATGGTGAAAACTGAAGTAGCATGGTGACTACTGATGTAGCATGGTGACTACTGATGTAGCATGGTGACTACTGACAGCATGGTGAAAACTGAAGTAGCATGCTGACTACCGATGTACATGATCATTGTCATAATGTTTGTGTATTTTTCCTCAGTTCCACCCAGCATCTCTGACATCATCAAACCCACCATAATTTACGCCATGAAGCCGACCAACTTAAAATGCATCATTAAAAGAGTACGAGTGAGAGAGCTCAAAGTGAAATGGTACAAGATAACAGCCAATACGGACTGTACCGCAGCATCCAACAGTCAATCAATGGCGCTGTTGAGCCACAAGGACATGAGTGACCAGGCTAACATCCACTCTGAGGGCGTGGATCACGTGTCCACCCTGTCCATCTGTCTGTCAGTCAGTGAGGACCAGGCTAAGTACCTGTGTGTTGTGCTCTACAGAGGCAGGAAGATCACCAGAGAGACCACTGTGAGTGTAAAAGGTAATGTAATAATGTCATGGAATAACTATAATAATGTAATAAGGTAATGTAACCAGTACAGTCATGCGGAACTATTCTGTGTTCAAAGTCAGGTAGTAGTCCGAGCTTGAAGTGGGTCTTGAGAGCAATATAAATGAGTGGACGTATTAATATTTTTCCTCATCAATCGAGTAGAATTGAATACACTGTCAGTCATAAAACACAACCAAAAATGACAGCAAAGTCCATCCAACTGAATCTGTACCAATATCTAGAAATGTGCCACTTTTGACTTAACACGCTGTTCTCTTTACATTTTCCCCAGTGACTCCATCATTCTTTCACATCTCCAGCATGCCTCAGATCCCAGAGGTGGAGAGGTTGCTGGTGCTATGCTGTCGGGTCGAGAAGTTCTACCCAGACGACCTCCATCTCGAGTGGTTGAGAAACGACGGGGAGCAGGTGAGGACAGCCACTAACTATGGACCGTTCTCTGACCACGAGCGCATGTACAGCATGTGGAGTAAGATTGAACTGACCGTGGCTCAGGAAGACGAGAGGGCGGTCTACACATGCCGCTTGTATCACTCCAGTTTCCCCGGGCCGGGATACAAAGACGTTCTCTATCATATCAACACACAAGGTAACTAATCAAAGACGTGTTCATTTTAGCACAGGGGTCACAAACTCGTTTTGTCTTGGGGCCACCAGTTTGAGACCTCTGTTTTATTTACGTGTTTACACAAATGTATTCTGTCAATCAAAGCTAGGCTATATGGTGGTAATTGTCATAATGTGTAGATTAAATGCAAATTTACATCCTGGAAATTGAATTATATTTGTTGGTTTTCATAATTTTGCTCAAAATGCATCGACAAAATATAACTGATGGAGCTGATATTCAAGATAGTCTTCCCCTGATAAGTTGATAGTGTCTTCTGATAACTTTTTTGCACAAACGTAATGTGCGTGCGTCATCATTTTATATTCATTAGGGCTTGTCATAGCAAAACGTTTTTGCAACTGAAAATTTAAATGATTATTTCTTATTGGGCAAGTCCAGGTACTCCCTCCCTGTTTCAGGCAATGTTCTTCAATTTGATGCCCAATGAATAGGACCCATGTGTCTTCTTCACTAGGTACTCCTCCAAGCGTGATGTTCATCAAGTGTGAGCCACTACTCCCTCTCCCAGATGAGGAGTGCACGCTCAACCTCTGCATCAAAGACTTCTGTCCCGAACAAGTGTCTGTCACGTGGTTTAAGGATGGACAGGGGGTCCCCACCCGCCAGGTCTTCAACTCCCCACCCAGCCTCAACATCAACGGCCTCTACTCTATGTGGAGCTTCCTCAAACTGAGCCCCACCACAGAGGACTACGGCTCAGAGTTCAGGTGCCGGGTGGTCCACATTGCACAGAAGGAACTGGAGGAGAGGGTGTTCACACTGTCAGATCTCATAGTCACCTAGTCAAGGGATGTATCAGACCTTTGTTCAAATACTATTTGAAATATTTCAAATACTTTGTTTGCACTTTTGGGACTTTTCTATTGGTTCCATTACAACAGGAAAGCTCAATAAAGGTTGGCTCAAGTATTTGAACCCAGGTCTGGGATGTATATAAGGATATTACCGCTAAAGTATATAGCATACCTAAGGTTATTTTTGTACATTAATTTAGTTTGATGCATTTATACTAATTTTGTTGACTTTATTTATCTTCTGATAGAATGGAAATATTTAATTGAAAAAGCTTGCCCTGAACTGTCGTAGCATACTAGATATGCTAATGTCACGGGGGGCCTAAACTAGGAAAAGTGTCAGTACTACACTTTTTATATTGAGGTAAGATAATCTTATAACTAACAAACACAGGTTCGTAGACCTTTATACTTACATCCCGTATATGGTACGAAAATGGCAGATTGGTCACTATAAGCACTTCAATTGGAACACAGAGGCTGTACAGTAACATACTATACATCAAGTCAGAGCTCTGGGTCTTCGGTTTTCATGTATTTATTTATTTATTAGGGACAGACACAATTAAAATATTTACACATTGAATCATCAACAGGATTCATGAATGATCAATCAGTACCTAGATAGGTTTTAAAATGGTTTAAAAAAGACAAGAAAACAACTAATCAAAACAAACAACCAAACAGGTTCGCAAGTGGTTATATCCTTGATTTACTTTAAACCAGTTTTTCCACTTTCTGTGTAAACATTAATACCCACAGACATGACTGCTCAAGCCTAGGGTTGCAAAACTACCGGTAATTTCCCAAAGTTACCGGAATTTGCAGTACATTTGGTAATTAAAGAGGTAATTTATACTTGAATGACTTTAAAAATATATATTCATATAAAATATACAATTTGTCTTAATCTTTATATCTGTGTACAGTGCCTTGCAAAAGTATTCATCCCCCTTGGCGTTTTTACTATTTTGTTGCGTTACAACCTGTAATTTAAATTGATTTTTATTTGGATTTCATGTAATGGACATACACAAAATAGTCCAAATTGGTGAAGTGAAATGAAAAAAATAACGGAAAAGTGCTGCGTGCATATGTATTCACCCCCTTTGCTATGAAGCCCCTAAATAAGATCTGGTGCAACCAATTACCTTCAGAAGTCACATAATTAGTTAAATAAAGTCCACCTGTGTGCTATCTAAGTGTCACATGATCTGTCACATGATTTCAGTATATATATACCTGTTGTGAAAGGCCCCAGAGTCTGCAACACCACTAAGCAAAGGGCACCACCAAGCAAGCGCCACCATGAAGACCAAGGAGCTCTCCAAACAGGTCAGGAACAAAGTTGTGGAAAAGTACAGATCAGGGTTGGGTTATAAAAAACTATCCAAAACTTTGAACATCCCACGGAGCACCATTAAATCCATTATTAAAAAATGGATAGAATATGGCACCTCAACAAACCTGCCAAGAGAGGGCCGCCCACCAAAAGTCAAGGACCAGGCAAGGAGGGCATTAATCAGAGAGGCAACAAAGAGACCAAAGATAACCCTGAAGGAGCTGCAAAGCTCCACAGCGGAGATTGGAGTATCTGTCCATAGGACAACTTTAAGCCATACACTCCACAGAGCTGAGCTTTACGGAAGAGCGGCCAGAACAAAGCCATTGCTTAAAGACAAAAATAAGCAAACACGTTTGGTGTTCGCCAAAAGCCATGTGGGAGACTCCCCAAACATATGGAAGAAGGTACTCTGGTCAGATGAGACTAAAATTGAGCTTTTTGGCCATCAAGGAAAACGCTATGTCTGGCGCAAACCCAACACCTCTCCTCACCCTGAGAACACCATCCCCACAGTGAAGCATGGTGGTGGCAGCATCATGCTGTGGGGATGTTTTTCATCGGCAGGGACTGGGAAACTGGTTAGAATTGAAGGAATGATGGATGGGGCAAAACGCAGGGAAATTCTTGAGGGAAACCTGTTTCAGCCTTCCAGAGATTTGAGACTGGGACGGAGGTTCACCTTCCAGCAGGACAATGACCTTAAGCATACTGCTAAAGCAACACTTGAGTGGTTTAAGGGGAAACATTTAAATGTCTTGAAATGGCCTAGTCAAAGCCCAGACCTCAATCCAATTGAGAATCTGTGGTATGACTTAAAGATTGCTGTACACCAGCGGAACCCATCCAACTTGAAGGTGCTGGAGCAGTTTTGCCTTGAAGAATGGGCAAAAATCCCAGTGGCTAGATGTGCCAAGCTTATAGAGCCATACCCCAAGAGACTTGAAGCTGTAATTGCTGCAAAAGGTGGCTCTACAAAGTATTGACTTTGAGAGGGTGAATAGTTATGCACGCTCAAGTTGTACGTTTTTTTTGGTCTTATTTCTTGTTTGTTTCACAGTAAAACATATTTTGCATCTTCAAAGTCAAATCAAATCAAATGCTATTTGTCACATACACGTGTTTAGCAGATGTTATAGCGGATGTAGCGAAATGCTTGTGCTTCTAGCTCCGACAGTGCAGAAATATCTAACAATTTCACAACATATACAGTGAGGGAAAAAAGTATTTGATCCCCTGCTGATTTTGTACGTTTGCCCACTGACAAAGAGATGATCAGTCTATAATTTTAATGGTAGGTTTATTTGAACAGTGAGAGACAGAATAACAACAAAAATGCATGTCAAAAATGTTATAAATTGATTTGCATTTTAATGAGGGAAATAAGTATTTGACCCCCTCTCAATCAGAAAGATTTCTGGCTCCCAGGTGTCTTTTATACAGGTAACGAGCTGAGATTAGGAGCACACTCTTAAAGGGAGTGCTCCTAATCTCAGCTTGTTACCTGTATAAAAAAGACCTGTCCACAGAAGCAATCAATCATTCAGATTCCAAACTCTCCACCATGGCCAAGACCAAAGAGCTCTCCAAGGATGTCAGGGACAAGATTGTAGACCTACACAAGGCTGGAATGGGCTACAAGACCATCGCCAAGCAGCTTGGTGAGAAGGTGACAACAGTTGGTGCGATTATTCGCAAATGGAAGAAACACAAAAGATCTGTCAATCTCCCTCGGCCTGGGGCTCAATGCAAGATCTCACCTCGTGGAGTGGCAATGATCATGAGAACGGTGAGGAATCATCCCAGAACTACACGGGATGATTCTGTCAATGATCTCAAGGCAGCTGGGACCATAGTCACCAAGAAAACAATTGGTAACACACTACGCCGTGAAGGACTGAAATCCTGCAGCGCCCGCAAGGTCCCCCTGCTCAAGAAAGCACATATACAGGCCCGCATGAAGTTTGCCAATGAACATCTGAATGATTCAGAGGAGAACTGGGTGAAAGTGTTGTGGTCAGATGAGACCAAAATCGAGCTCTTTGGCATCAACTCAACTCGCCGTGTTTGGAGGAGGAATGCTGCCTATGACCCCAAGAACACCATCCCCACCGTCAAACATGGAGGTGGAAACATTATGCTTTGGGGGTGTTTTTCTGCTAAGGGGACAGGACAACTTCACCGCATCAAAGGGACGATGGACGGGGCCATGTACCGTCAAATCTTGGGTGAGAACCTCCTTCCCTCAGCCAGGGTATTGAAAATGGGTCGTGGATGGGTATTCCAGCATGACAATGACCCAAAACACACGGCCAAGGCAACAAAGGAGTGGCTCAAGAAGAAGCACATTAAGGTCCTGGAGTGGCCTAGCCAGTCTCCAGACCTTAATCCCATAGAAAATCTGTGGAGGGAGCTGAAGGTTCGAGTTGCCAAATCTCAGCCTCGAAACCTTAATGACTTGGAGAAGATCTGCAAAGAGGAGTGGGACAAAATCCCTCCTGAGATGTGTGCAAACCTGGTGGCCAACTACAAGAAACGTCTGACCTCTGTGATTGCCAACAAGGGTTTTGCCACCAAGTACTAAGTCATGTTTTGCAGAGGGGGTCAAATACTTATTTCCCTCATTAAAATGCAAATCAATTTATAACATTTTTGACATGCGTTTTTCTGGATTTTTTTGTTGTTATTCTGTCTCTCACTGTTCAAATAAACCTACCATTAAAAGTATAGACTGATCATGTCTTTGTCAGTGGGCAAACGTACAAAATCAGCAAGGGATCAAATACTTTTTTCCCTCACTGTACACAATACACACAAAAAAGTAAGGAATGGGATTTAAGAATATATACATATATGGACAAGCAATGACAGAGCGGCTAGGACTAAGATACAGAAGAATATTATAGAATAGAATGCAGTATATTGTTATGAACCCCGTGGCTTTAAAAGTCTAGGGTGGATGGAAAAGAGACCCATAACATAATTCATGCAAATTAGAATCATGACATGGAATCAGTGAGAACAAAAAATACACCGACAACCATAAGCTACCGTCAAACACAAGATGTTTATTTTGAACACACAGTAAAGGTTTGGGAAAAAGGGCTGAGCAGGACCCAAGGAATGAAACAATAATGTAAAAAAAAAACTAAACTGATCTTGCCTGCCTCAAGAACCGCTAAGCTACTGCTAATCATACAACAATTACAGTGGGTGGTCCGCTCAGGTCTAACTAGTGTTTTTAGACAATTTTCTTCCTACGGGTAATGTATGCCCAAGGGCAACTTGCTTAAATCCCCCTTTTCCCAGAAACACACAACAAAGTTACCAAACAGAGTAACCGGAAAATGAGTGAGTACACAAAACACAGAACACCACAGTATCCATACTCACATACAGAAATAGTCTCTCCCAACAAACACAACTGACTGGCTTTTAAAACAATGGGAGGTGTAAGTGAAAAACCAGAAACAGGTGGTGCAATACAGAGGAATGTCCACTGATTGGTCCACCTCAGCAATCAGCAGACAAACGGATGTCGGACAGGTGGGACATCCCAACGACCACCAACCAGGAACATAAAGGACACCTGTGATTAGGGCAGAAGGAGAGGAAAAACACAAAAACACACACAGGATACCTGTATC